AGATGGTTGTGAACCACCTATATAGATGGTTGCTAGAAATTGAACTCAGGACCTCTGGAAAAAGTCAGTGCTCTTAACCTCTGAGCCATCTCTCCAGCCCCCAGGTGTCCTTTTGCATAATGTGTGTTTCTTCACAATTAAAACTTTGTAGGCACACAGCCTACAAAGTCACCTCCATCCCTCTTTAAGCCTGTCATGTAGTAGAATCCCCGGGGACAGTGGGAGATAGCAGCTTCCTCTGGTGTCTCCAGAAAGGCCTCCACTGACCTTGCCCTGGGTAGCCCTACACAGCCTGTTTGCGCCCTCAGACAGTCAGGGTTGGCACTGGGCATGGGTGAAGAAGGAGAAGAATCTTGAACCTCAGTTCCACCTAGGCTTACTTCCAAAGCATTCTCCTCCAGGGATTTTAATTCAAGTGCTATGAGGTGGGGAGAGAGGAGAGGGCATAGAAGATCCTTAGCCTTGGAGCCCAGGGAAGAACACACAGGCTCCCAAGCCCTGGCTCCAGAAGGTTCCTCTCTCTGGAATATCAGCTGAGGGTGGTGGTGGCTGGAAGGTCCCCCTAACCCAGGCTTCTTAGTGATTCTTCGACAGTTCACTCTGAAGTTCTGAGGACACAGGCTTCACCAGTGCCCAATGGACATGGCAAAAACCATTTACCTGCCAACCTCCTATCAAAGGTGAGCACTGAACCAACACAATCCTGCTCTGCATTTCTCCACTCTGAAAGATGCCAGCCTAGAACCGAGAGTAGCCTGGTTTGTAGCAGGGACATGCGTGTGTAACAAAACTGGATATAATACAGAGGCCATAAAACATCAGCAGAGGGGAAACAGCTAAGTTAGAAAGCAATCGGTCAAAATGCTAGGTATGGTGTTGTATACCTGTAATCCCCACACACAAGAGGCTAGGACAGGAGAACTGCCATAAGTGTGAGCTGGGCTACAAAGTGAGTTCAGCCCAAGCCAGCCTGGGTTACACAATGAGACAATGCCTCAAAACAACAACAACAACAAAGAAATAACAAAAGGAAAAGAGGAGCTGGAGAGATGTCTCAGTGGTTAAGAGCACTGGCTGCTCTTCTAGAGGATCTGGGTTCAATTCCCAGCACCCACATGGCAGCTCACAACTGTAATTTCAGGTCCAGGGGACCCAACATCCATGGCAAAACACCAATACACATCAAATAAAAAAGGAAAAGAAGGAGAAGAAAAAGAGGCCTGCGAGATAGTTCAATAGGTCTTAACCACTCCATGAAAGTATGAAAACTCGAGTTTGAATCCCCAGAACCCATGTGTGGGTCATGTGTCTGTGATCCTAGTGCCCCTACTTGAGATTTATGGGAGTTGGAGACAGAAGAATCCCAGAGCCTCTGGAGACAGCTAGCCTAACATTGTGCAGTGGCAAACAACAAGAGATCTGTCTCAAGATGGAAGTTGAGGATCAGTGTTTACCTCCACATATGTGTGATATGATGTATGTACTGACATGCATGCTCACACACACACATCACAAAAGACAGAAGAAAGGGAGAGATAAGGAAAGCAAATGAGCCAGTAGGAAGGGATGCTTCTTTCTGAGTGCACAGTCTACAGTCTACTGCTTGTGTGAAGGGCAATTGGGAGGGCCAATCTTTCTGAAAGAATCAGAACTGCAGAGGTACCCAAAGTATGAAAGCATAGCTGTAAGGCCAGCAAGGCCCCAGTGGCAAAAGGAATGCTGTCACCAATGTCTCCATGCTGGACCTACCCTCTGATCCTCCAGTCCCAGTGCAGGTGAGAAACACAAGGTAATCCAATCTGGCTTACTACAGAGGGAAGTGAAGAAAGAGACAGACACATTTTGTGCAAACGAAGTTCAGGGCCTCAGCAGGGCAGACCAGGTCTCTTAAAAGGTGAAGGTCCTTGCAGACACCACCATAGACCCTGCCCTTGAGTTCTATCTACTTCCAGGGAGAGTTTAAGGCCCTCTGTAGCTTAGCTGCTCCCTTTCCTGTACCAGTCATGCCAGGCAACAGCTTCTGTTCAATTCTGTTTATTCCTAGACAATCACCAACCATAGAATATACCCACGGGGTTTGAGGAGACCTGGTGAATACAGTAGTCTTGTTGGCCTAGGTCAGCCAGTGAGTGTGGGCTGCACCTCCTATATTCTTAACACTCAAAGGAAGCACCTAACCAGGCCAGGAACACTGCTAGCAGCATCTTCTCCCAAGCTCCAGGCTGTGACACCTGTACCCAAGCTGGACAGCACCATTCCTGGCTCCTACACACAACCACATAGGACAGGATAAGCCCAGCAGAGCACACATAGATCTCCTGTGGCCACTTTCCTCCCAATCAACTCCTGAGTTGCAAAACACACTCATGGTACTGTAGTGATCCACAGCAAATCCACTGACTAAAGTGGGCTAAGAGCACTCAAGAAGGGATTGAAAAATGGGGAGGGGTACACATGGTGATATAATTGGATTTGACAAAGAAGGGAGTTTACCATTTACAGAAGCATGACTGAACATGCTGCTTAAGGACATTATGGAAAGTCAAATAAATCAATCACAGACAAGAGCCATATGCCTCCACTTATGAGGTGTCCTCCATGGCCAAGCCAGACACTCATAAGATTGCAATGGTGAACAGTAGGGGCAGACACCTGCTCTAGATATCTACTATGGAACACTGCTCACAGCTGGTAATTGGCCATGACCGACACTGGAAGTGTTATGAACTTTGTGTGTGGCTTTTCTCGTTGCTGCCACCCAATGCTAGGTCAAAGGGAACTTAAAGGAGGACTGATTGTATTGTTCAGGTTCATAGCAGGGGGGCTCAGTGGCTGAGGCTCTGAAGACAAGATGTTCATGCATGTGGGAGACATTTCACACTGAAACCATTATGCTTAGAATCTGTTAAGAGGATATATACATCCTGAAAAGTGCTCTCACCTGCCATAATAAAGCCAAAAATAGCAGGGAGGTGGGGGAAGGGCCCATCTGGTTGTTCTGATGGAGCAGGCTATGCTGTTCTCACTAGAGACCTAGGCAAGGTGATGGTGAAGGATTCATGTGCAGTCTCCAGCCATAAGAGAATCAGGACAATGTCTGAACTGCTACTTATGACAGGGTGTGGAGCACACTCTATAGCCCAGCCTAAACTCAAAGCAATCCTTCTGCCTCAGCCTCCAGAGTGCTGGAACTATGGTGTGAGACACCACAACCAGCAGCATATTTTAATTATTATAGCAGTTTTCATTCTCCTGGATTTTGAAATCACAATGAACACAAACTTCGGTACCCAAACTCCAGACCTTGAACCAGCTGGTCGACTGCTGTCAGTTGCCTGCTATGATCAGATTGTGGGTGGCAGATTCTTCCAGTGTGAGAAATGGGAGAGGCAGGACAGCAAAGACCACTGGTGACAGGTTCTTTGGGCCATCGGGACTCAGCCTACATCCATCTTTTCCTCTCCAAATCGCAATGTTTACTTACCTAGTCTTTGTTTGAGCTAGCTGTGGTGGCTCGCACATGCCTGACTCTTGTAAACTAGGGTCAAACCAGTTTGCATGGCACTTCCTTACAGCCATGGATCCTGGCTCTGCCAGGGCAACCCCTGGCAAGGGGAAACAGGTTCACAGACACAGAAACCACATGGAACCACATGGGCTTGGCCAGCACTCTTCCTGCAGAAAACAGTCCAACGTCTTCCGTGTTTCTGTGCCTCAAAGCTTGGTTACAAACAAGAAGGTAAACCAGGCTCCTCCTCCCCTAGTGTAGAGTGCAATACTGCAGGTGACTGCTATAAGCGTATGAATTCACAGCCACACATTGGCTCCCTGAGAGAAGAAGGCCTTGTGTTCTGCTGTTTAATCCCGTATCTTGATGGAAAGAAAGTCTTGGCCTTTTTTTTTACTCCACCCACACCACAAGCAGGAAGCACATCCTCCTGCAACTCCGCTCTCTAGTTGGGACCCACAACCAAGGCCAGAACCATTTCTGGTGTCCTGTTGTTCTGCCAGTGAGCACCCAGATCTGTGAGTCACCACCGGCTTCACCACCAGCTTACTATATTTACAGGCAGCCTGCATAGGGGGGCTTTGCGCGGTTCACCACCTTGTGGAGAAAGCCTGAGTCTAGCTGGGAAGCAGAAGGTTTGTTTTTTGTTTGTTTTTTAATCCCAACTGTTTTTTAAAACAGGGCAAGGTCAGTGGATAGCACCTCCTTTCCTTAGAAAAACTGGCAAGGCTGGTATCCCCTCACCAACTCCCAAATGCAAGCAAATGGTAATTCGGTGGTCTCCGCATATCCACAGCGTCCCACTGCTGTATGTCCATTCCGGAAAGGGGGACATGGGAAAAATTTAAGCCATCTGCCCCAAAATAAAAATCTAAAAAGGCTCCCAGCAGCACCATCCTGGAGGAGGTACTGTGGAGTCGGTCGCTAGTCCCTGGCGGTGGCGCACCTGCGCGTCCACACCCAGCGCAGCGTCACCGGCGGCTCCCTAGGCCTGCGCAGGGCTGGCCCTGCTCCGGCACACCGCGGGAAACCGGTTCGGTGAAATAAATGGCCAATGGAGCGCAAGCAATCTAGAGAGGCAAAGAAGACCCCAAACTGGGCAAGGCCTCCGGACCCCTGGTCACTGGAGGGGGTGGGGGAAGAGGAAGTCGAGCGAGCCCCGCCACCCTGCTCCACCCCGGTGCATCCTGCTCCATCCCGGTGCCACCCCGAGAGTCGCTACCTTGCGCCATCCCATCCACCCTGGGCGTCGTCACCCTTTTCTATTCCGGTGCCATCTCCGCCACCCTGGGCGTCACCACTTCGTTCCATCCCGGTGTCATCCCCAGTACCCCGTGCCACCTCCAGCCCACAGCGCAGGGCAGCCGCCAGCCCTAGACACTCGGTGCCAGGCGCCCGGCGGAGCGTAAAGGGCCCTGATGAGCGCGTCCCTCGTCCCCTCCCGGGTCAGCTGTGGGGTGTGTGGGATCCCAAGGACAGCGCCACTGCTCACCAAGGTTCCCCGCGATCAGGCTTCGGGCAGTGGAGTCCGACGGCCTCAACCATCGCAGTGTCGCTGCGGCGGGCGGGGGCCGCGCGTCACCGCGGGCAGCGCCCCGAACCCCGGCCCGCCCCTGCAGGCGCTCCAGCCGGCGCCGGCCCAGCGTCGCCCGCCCCCTGGCTTCCCCAGATCGCTTCGCTTATTCCTTTAAGAAATAAGTCTCGGGTCGGTTCAAGTGAGAGACGACATTGCTGAAAATGACCCTGGGGCTGCAGAGGACCCTGCCACGCAAGGCGGGGTTCTAAAAACCAGCCTGCTTAAATGTGCCTGCGGGTCGCTGAGGGCCACGCGAGTACGCGGGACTATCCCTGGTAGGAATCACTCACCCTCATTGCGTGCTGGATGTGAGCAGCCATGAGCAGCGCCCGCGAGTTGCACGTGGGTGTTCCAACCCTTAACCCTTGACTTCCCGGCTCCTAGAGCTGCTTTCCAAGGCTCTGTAGCCAGAGAGATGCTTTCAGGTTTCAGTGAGCAAATGCTATTCCGGATGCCAACACTCAGTTCTGTCCTCCCTGCTTCTCTTTGCTCCATGCCCCTTCCTATACTAGAAATAGAACCTAGGACCAAGTGCTGTGCCAATACGCTATATCCCAGTCTCTTGTTCCCTCACTCTTTTGTTTTGTCCTGTGATAGGGTGTTCTGGTTTCATTTCAGCTGCTATAACCAAGTCCCCAATGAAAAGCAACTTTGGGAACAAATAGGTGTGTTTCAGCTTGCAATTCCAGTCTACCATTTTGGGAAAGTCAAGGCAGGAACTTCGAAAAGCTAGCTACATGATATCTGCAGTCAAAAACTGAGAAAACCCAAATGCTTCCTTGCTTGCTCGCTCATGTCCAGCTCTGTTTCTTCATGTTTATACAGTTGGGGGGAAAGGTGCTGCATAGGAATGGTGCTTCCAGGAGACTGGGTCCTCTCACAGCAATTAGTAAGAAAGTTCCTTACAGAAATGCCCACAGGCCAGGCCAGTGTAGACAATCTCTCATTGAGACCCTCTTCCCAGGTGCCAAGCTACAATTAAAGGTAACCTTAACAGTCAGGTACTGTGATATACACCTTTCATCCCAGCAACTGGGAGGCTGAGGCAGGCAGAAAGAACCCTCTGTTCATGGTCTACATACTACACAGGGAGTTCCAGGGGAGCCAGGGCTACATAATGAGGCACTGCCTCCAAGTTAATTAACTAATTAATATAAAATAACCTAATGATAACAGGCTCCCTGGGTGTCCTGGAATTTACTATATTGACCAGACTGGCCTTAACTTACAATGAGCCCCTGCATCTGCCTCCAAAGGAGTGCATGCTGCATGCTTGGAGACAACTGGCGGCCTTTTTTTTTTTAATTCTATGACAGATCTCACTATCTTCCTCTGGCTGTGTAGCCAGGCAGCTCTTGGACTTGCAATATTCTTGCCTTAGCCTTCTGAGAAGCTGAGATTACAGGTCTGTACCTCCGTGTTAGTTTTCTTTCCCACTTCTAAATGTGACCAGGTGTGGTGGCATAATCTCAGTCCAAAAGGCTGGGTCAGGAGGATTGTCAGAGGTCAGCCTGGGCTATATAGTAAAAACCAGACCAGCCTGGGCTACAGAATAAGATTCTGTATCAAAACAGAACAACAAACCTCACAAAATATTTTGTCTGGGCCTGCCCCTGATAAGAGTGAGTAATGAGCTGCTGGTGGGTTGGATGACAGGATAAATCCAGGGAGGGGGAATACCTGAATGAAGAGTTCCATCAGGTAGACCATGATCTGGCAGAACACACGCACCACACCACACACACACAGACACACACCACATATACACCACACACACACACACACATATGCACACACCACACATACACCACACACATACACACACCACACATTACCACACACACACACACCACACATACACCACATACACACACACACCATACATACACCACACACACACACCATACACTTATGCATACACACCACACACCACACATACCCACACACCACACACACCATACACACACCACACACACAAATACACACACACCCTGCTGCCAGGGTAACATCACACACACACACAGATCACATACATACATACATACACACCACACACACCACATATACACATATACCACACACACCCCACACACCATATACACACACATACACACACCCTGCTGCCAGGGTAACACACAACACACACACACACACACACACACACACACTCACTCACACACTTACCTTTTGCTGGGGATCTAAGTCAGCAGATCACAGAGCACGTGGGAAGCAAATGCTTTTGCAAGTGGACCATTAGGTGCAATGATGAGGTTGACCTCTCCCCAAGCTCTAGGAGTCTCCAATCCTAGTTGCAGGAAACAGGAACCATTCACTAATGACTGCATGAAATTGTATCTGATACTACAGGGTTCTGCCCTGCAAGGCCTGCTCTCCAGCTTTGGCCAATGGAGTCCTTAAGCAAGCTGTTCCAAGGCTCTGAGATTACAAAAAATGGGCGAAGTGTAAGTACCATGAGCCAGGCAGGTGTGGTGGCTTTTGCCTGCAATTCCAGTACTCAATAGCTAAAACAAAAGGACAGAAAGATTTCAATTTCAAGGCCAACATGAGCTATACAAGATTCTGTATTAAAGAGAAAAATAAACAAGCTAACAAAAAGAAGTGTAAGTCTCATGAGCAGTGTGTTTGTTTGTTTGTTTGTTTGTTTGTTTGTTTGGTCAGAAGCTATTGTAAATGGGTTAGCATAAATGTCAACAAGCCTGGTCAGAGTTTGGCTCTGGGACAGAATGCTTGCCTAGAATTTGTGAGGTCCTGAGTTTGATGCTGATCAAACTTGCGCGCTGGCACACACACACACACACACACACACACACACACACACACAGACAGACAGACGGGGAGAGGGTGTCAAGTCAATGAGTCCATGTGACAATACCAAAGAAAGCTCAGTGGACTGAAGACAAAAGCCATACCCATGGTCTGTGATGGTGCATGCCTTTAATCCCAGATCTTGGGAGGCAGAGACAAGGGTATCTCTGTAAGTTTGAGGACAGCATGGTCTACAGAATGAGTCCAGGACAGCCAGGGCTACACAGACAAAACCCCTGTCTTGGGAAAAAAAAAAACACACACATACCCAGAATAAGGGTCTGTTCCAACGAAGAGTGATCACTGCTGACTACCCAGGTATGGAGTCACATTGATGGCCCATTGGAACACTCTGGAGCTGCCAGAAGTCTTGGAACCTGTGCCAACCTCCATGGGCAGAATCATCTGTACCATGGCTCTACTTGTATGTCTCAACCAACTTGTTTTAGGCACTTTTTCATAAAACCATAACTGCGGATAGAATGACAGGGAAGGGAGCAGGAAAGCAAGTGCACTCAGGGGGAAGCTGCCCATGCCACAAGATGGAGAAGTTTAGGACATGCAGCAGTGGATGACATTGAATTCCTGGTTACCTTGCCTGCACCCTCAAGTGCTGAAATAAAACCCACATGCCACTATACCCAGATCCTTTATTTTTTAAATGTTTTATTTGACATAGATTCCCAAGTGGCCCAGGCTGACCTTGAACTTGCTATATAGCTGAGGATGACCTTGAAATCCTGATCCTCCACCTCCACAGACACACCCAAATGAAAGCAATCTTGTATTTATTTTTGTTTATTAGGCTAGTATGAGTTATATCAGAAACATAGACACATTTGAAGATTCACAAGCTACATCAGTTTCATTGGCTGCAATGGACCAAGTAGTCTTGATTTTGTTTGATGCTTGGCCATTGATAGTCACAGGTCCATAGTAATCTTTTCTTAAAGGTTTATTTTATTAGTTTCTCTCTCTCTCTCTCTCTCTCTCTCTCTCTCTCTCTCTCTCTCTGTGTGTGTGTGTGTGTGTGTGTGTGTGTGTGTGTGTGTGTATGTGTTTATATGCTAGAAGCAGGGTAGAGCATCAGCAGATTCCTTGGAGCTGGAGTTACAGGAGGTTGTGAGTTGTGTGATGTGGGTGCTGGGAATCAAACTCGGGTCTTCCTCAAGAGTAGCAAAGGCTCTTAACTACTGAGCCATCTCTCCTGCCCCTTACATTTCCATCTTAATCATTAATATTACTTTTCAGATGACACATTCTACTCCCCACAATGATGAGGGTGGTGGGGAGAAACAGTTATACAGGCTATGGACACAGGAAACAGTCTGTAGGATCCAGATAAGAAGCCTCACTAACCTGTGACCACAGAGCTACTCAGGTACAGTGATGTCAAGTGCAGCTCTGGTGACAGGTTGTTCAAGGCACAGTCAGTTTAGTGTCAGTCAGGACACACTTGGGCTGGAGCCCAAGGGCAGAGGCAGGAGTCCTTTTCTCTGACGGTTCTCCAGGTGACCAGTCTTTCCCTCTACATCTTAGTCTCCAGATAGTTCTTTTATAACCCCCATGATAGGGTTGCATCTGATGTAGTTGATAAGCTGGTGCATCTGGTGTTTCTGGTACTTTCAGGTAGCATTATTGATTGACATAAGTAAATTATTAACCAGCTTGTGCCTTTTGCTTTGCTGACAGATGATGCCTGTCTCTTGTGTAAACAAGATGTACAGAGTTGGTCTTTCTTGCCATTTATACTTAAAGTGAAATGACTCAGTCAAGGCTGTTGCTCTTGAGTCATTTAGAGTTGGACACATTCAGATAGATTTGGAGCCGGTCAGTCTTGTCTCTGCTCTCTTAACAGCACAGGTCAGATTGACTAGATCAAACAACAGGAAGTCACCAGCCACGACCCTGCAGACCTGAAGTCTGACACCAAGATGCTGGTGCCATTGGTTTCTCCTGAGACCTCTGCTTGCACATGGCCATCCTCTTGCTGTGTCCTCACACAACGCAGTGTCTTAAAGATCTGTCTCTAAGCCAGCTGCTGGTGGTGCATGCCTTTAAACCCAGCACTTGGGAGGCAGAGGCAGACGGATCTCAATGAGTTGGAGTTCATCCTGGTCTACAAATTCCAGGACAGCCAGGATCATCCCACAGAGAAACCCTGTCTCAAAAAACAAAACAAAACAAAACAAAAACCTATCTCTAAATGGTTGTATTGAAGACTAGGGTTCAACATATGGATTATTGGTGGCTTGTGGGGGGTAACTCAGTCCTTAACAAGTCTCAATCATACCTCCTTCCTTTTACAGTGGCATTTTGTGTTACGTACCCATCTTCAAAGTTTGGTGGGGCCAGTAACAGCTAGTAACAATTGACAATTTACATTATATGGTCTTAGTGATGTATGAACTATGGTTTGCTGAGATCCCATGAACTTC